TATTTTGGAAAGGAAGAGTCATCTGCAGTATGTGGAGGGTTACAAAAAAGTATTCCTGCAGAGGGACAGGATGAAGGAGGAGAGAGTTAGGGCAGCAGAGGCAAAGAGGAAGCGCAGGGAGAGAGGAGTAAACCAGGAAATCACAGCCCCCAACACAACAGTCCCAGAAACAAGAGGGGAACCTACAACCTGCATCCCAGCAGCACCAGAGGGGAGGGCAACACCACAACCTCCCTCTACATAGAAACCCTCCCTTCCTCTCACCCTACCTGCCCTCACTCAAATGCTCACCTAACCTCCCTCCCCCCTACCACATTCCGACCCTGTCACCCCTCCCCCATTCCCACCATGTCACCCCTCATGCCTTCCCCCCTCCCCCTTCACCCCATACCCTCCCTATCCCCCTCACCCAGTATCCTCCATGTCCCCCCTATCTCCTTACCCCATACCCTATCTGTCCCCCCTTCCCTTGTACCCTCACCCCCACCCCAAAATCCTCTGAGACCCTGCAAACCACCTCACAGATCTTCACACCCAGGAATCAGCTTTCCCCACCAGCAGAATGCTCACCAAGAAGGGGACAAGAAAATGAACAGAAGAAAGTGAGCTTCAAGGCAATGTACACTAACATAGATGGGATTACAAATATAACAAGTGAACTCGGAGAATGGGCACTGGAAGAAAACCCAAACATAATAGCTCTCACAGAAACAAAGCTAACAAAAACCATAACAAATGCAGTGTTTCCGCAGGACTACTATGTAGTTAGGAAAGAGAGAGAAGGAAGAGGAGGAGGTGGTGTAGCTTTGCTGATAAGAAAAGGTTGGAGTTTTGAAGAGATGGTTAATCAGTGTTGTGAAGGTTTCAGTGACTACATATCAGGCACCATAACAACTGGAGGACAGAAAATCATAGTAGTAGTCATATATATAACCCCCCACTAAACGACAGAAGACCCAGACCGGAATATGATAGAAACAACATGGCCATCATCAATATAATAGAGAGAGCAGCTTCTGTGGCTAGCAGGAACGGATCCAGACTACTAATCATGGGAGATTTCAACCATGACCACGGGAAGATAGATTGGGAGAACAGAGACCCACATGGAGAACCAGACACATGGAGAGCTAAGCTGCTGGACGTGGCAACAAGAAACTTTCTAAGTCAACACGTCAAGGGACCGACAAGAATGAGAAGAGAGGATGAACCAGCTTTGCTTGATCTGATATTTACCCTAAATGAGTCTGATATAAGGGAAGTTAAGTTGGAAGCACCCTTGGGAATGAGTGATCATAGTGTATTGAGCTTTGAGTACCTGGTTGAGCTAGGAATTATCTCCCCCCAAAAAAGAACTGGGAAACAAAGGGCAAGCGTACCAAAAGGGAAACTATGAGGAAATGAATACATTCCTAAGGGATGTACCATGGGACACAGAACTCAGAACTATGTCCGTACAAGACATGATGGACTATGTCACCCAAAAGTGTCAGGAGGCGGTAAACAGGTTTATCCCGGCCCGACAGGAAAAAACCGAGAAGCAAAAGAACAATCCGTGGTTTAATAGGGAGTGTATGAAAGCAAAGGAGCTGAACAAAAGGGCGTGGAGGAACTTCCGTAATAACAGAACACCAGAAAGTAGAGAGAGATACCAGAGAACCAGGAATGAGTATGTTAGTGTGAGAAGAGCAGCTGAGAAATGGTATGAAAATGATATAGCTAATAAAGCCAAGACCGAACCAAAACTACTACAGAGTCAGATCAGGAGGAAAACAACAGTGAAAGAACAAGTGAGGAAACTTAGAACGGGTAAGGACAGGTACACAGAGAATGACAAAGAGGTGTGTGAAGAACTCAACAAAAGGTTCCAGGAGGTCTTTACAATAGAACAAGGAGAGGTCACGGCGCTAGGAGAGGTGGCAGCAAACCAGGCGACCTTGGAAGAGTTCGAAATTACAACAGATGAGGTCAAGAGGCACCTATTGGAGCTGGACGTGAAAAAGGCTGTTGGGCCGGATGGAATCTCACCATTAGTATTGAAAGAGTGTGCAGGAGCACTTTGTTTGCCACTCTCCATAGTGTATAGTAGGTCACTGGAAACGGGAGACCTACCAGAAATATGGAAGATGGCTAATGTAGTCCCAATATACAAAAAGGGCGACAGACAAGAGGCACTGAACTACAGGCCAGTGTCCTTAACTTCTATACCATGCAAGGTGATGGAGAAGATCGTGAGAAAATACCTAGTAACACATCTGGAGAGCAGGGACTTCGTGACAACCCATCAACATGGGTTCAGGGAGAGTAAATCTTGCCAAACAGGCTTAAAAGAATTCTACGATAGGTGACAAAGATTAAGCAAGAACGAGAAGGATGGGCGGACTGCATTTTTTTGGACTGTCGGAAAGCCTTTGACACAGTACCCCATAAAAGGCTGATGCATAAGCTGGAGAAACAGGCAGGAGTAACTGGTAGGGCGCTCCAGTGGATAAGGGAGTACCTAAGCAATAGGAAGCAGAGAGTTACAGTGAGGGGTGAGACCTCAGATTGGCGTGAAGTCACCAGTGGAGTCCCACAGGGCTCTGTACTTGGACCTATCCTGTTTCTGATATACGTAAATGATCTCCCATAGGGTATAGACTCATTCCTCTCAATGTTTGCTGATGACGCCAAAATTATGAGAAGGATTAAGACAGAGGAGGACAGCTTGAGGCTTCAAGAAGACCTGGACAAGCCGCAGGAATGGTCGAACAAATGGTTGTTAGAGTTTAACCCAAGCAAATGTAATGTAATTAAGATAGGTGTAGGGAGCAGGAAACCAGATACAAGGTATCATTTGGGAGATGAAATCTTGCAAGAGTCAGAGAGAGAGAAAGACCTGGGGGTTGACATCACGCCAGACTGTTCCCCTGAAGCTCATATCAGAAGGATAACATCAGCGGCATATGCCAGGTTGGCTAACATAAGAACTGCCTTTAGAAACTTGTGTAAGGAATCTTTCAGAACATTATATACCACATATGTCAGACCAATCCTGGAGTATGCGGCTCCAGCATGGAGTCCATATCTAGTCAAGCATAAGACTAAACTGGAAAAGGTTCAAAGGTTTGCCACCCGACTAGTACCAGAACTGAGGGGTATGAGCTACGAGGAGAGACTACGGGAATTAAACTTCACGTCAATGGGAGACAGAAGAGTTAGAGGGGACATGATCACCACATACAAGATTCTCAGAGGAATTGATAGGGTAGATAAAGACAGACTTTTCAACACAAGGGGCACACGCACTAGGGGACACAGGTGGAAATTGAGTGCCCAAATGAGCCACAGAGACGTTAGAAAGAATTTTTTCAGTGTCAGAGTAGTAGATAAATGGAATGCATTAGGAAGTGATGTGGTGGAGGCTGACTCCATACACAGCTTCAAGTGTAGATATGATAGAGCCCAATAGGCTCAGGAACCTGTACACCTGTTGATTGATGGTTGAGAGGCGGGATCAAAGAGCCAGAGCTCACCCCCTGCAAGCACAATTAGGTAAGTACAATTAGGTAAGTACAGGCACCCACCTCCACAGGGACCCCCCACCTTCACAGGGACCCCACCTCCATAGGTACCCACTCTACAGGGACCCCCACCACCACAGGGACCCCACCTCCACAGGGACCCCACCTCCACAGGTACCCCACCTCCACAGGTACCCACCTCCACAGGTACCCATCTCCACAGGTACCCACTCCACAGGTACCCACCTCCACAGGTACCCAGCTCCACAGGTACCCACCTCCACAGGTACCCACCTCCACAGGTACCCACCTCCACAGGTACCCACCTCTACAGGTACCCACTCCACAGGCACCCACCTCCACAGGTACCCACCTCCACAGGCACCCACCTCTACAGGTACCCACTCCACAGGCACCCACCTCCACAGGTACCCACCTCAACAGGCACCCACCTCAACAGGTACCCACCTCCACAGGGACCCCACCTCCACAGGGACCCCCCACCTCCACAGGTACCCACCTCTACAGGTACCCACCTCCACAGGTACCCACCTCCACAGGTACCCACCTCAACAGGCACCCACCTCAACAGGTACCCACCTCCACAGGGACCCCACCTCCACAGGGACCCCCCACCTCCACAGGTACCCACCTCCACAGGTACCCACCTCCACAGGTACCCACCTCAACAGGCACCCACCTCAACAGGTACCCACCTCCACAGGGACCCCACCTCCACAGGGACCCCCCACCTCCACAGGTACCCACCTCTACAGGTACCCACCTCCACAGGTACCCACCTCTACAGGTACCCACTCCACAGGCACCCACCTCCACAGGTACCCACCTCCACAGGGACCCCCCACCTCCACAGGTACCCACCTCTACAGGTACCCACCTCCACAGGTACCCACCTCCACAGGTACCCACCTCAACAGGCACCCACCTCAACAGGCACCCACCTCAACAGGTACCCACCTCCACAGGGACCCCCCACCTCCACAGGTACCCACCTCTACAGGTACCCACCTCTACAGGTACCCACCTCCACAGGTACCCACCTCCACAGGTACCCACCTCCACAGGTACCCACCTCCACAGGTACCCACCTCTACAGGTACCCACCTCAACAGGTACCCACCTCCACAGGTACCCACTTCCACAGGTACCCACTTCCACAGGTACCCACCTCCACAGGTACCCACCTCAACAGGTACCCACCTCCACAGGGACCCCACCTCCACAGGGACCCCCCACCTCCACAGGTACCCACCTCTACAGGTACCCACCTCTACAGGTACCTACCTCTACAGGTACCCACCTCTACAGGTACCCACCTCCACAGGTACTCACCTCCACAGGTACCCACCTCTACAGGTACCCACCTCCACAGGTACCCACCTCCACAGGTACCCACCTCCACAGGTACCCACCTCCACAGGTACCCACCTCCACAGGTACCCACCTCCACAGGTACCCACCTCCACAGGTACCCACCTCCACAGTCATGGTGCCCATAATGCCACGCTGGTGCCCCTCCAATGTGGCAGTGATGAGCGCTGCAATTTCTTGTTGATCTTTCTCCAGGAAGTGTTCACAGGCCAGAGCCAGCATGTCGGGGTGCTGCGTGCTGATCTTGACCTGCGACAACACAACAATGGCTAGTATTATCACCTCATTCATTATAAGTAAAGCTAAGCAATTATGGAAAGAAAAACTAATTACTAATTAGTTTAAGTATTGTACTCTGAAAACTAGCAAACAGGAGATAGGAAACTGAGAAGGCAATTATGAAGAAAAATAACCTTGTTAAAATGATATTCATGAAGGTGGAGATGAGGACAAAAACAAGAATGATGATGAATGGATAAGGATGAAGAAATGGATGAAGCACAAGCCACCCGGACAATGATGATACCATAATAGATGAAGCACAAGCCACCCGAACAATGATGGTGCCATAATAGATGAAGCACTGGACACCAGGGTAGTGAGGATGCCATAATAGATGAAGCACTAGACACCAGATTAGTGAGGATGTCATAATAGATGAAGCACTAGTCAGTGGTATATCGTAACAGATGAAGCACTAGACACCAGGACAGTGAGGAAGCCATAATGGATGAAGCACAAGACACCAGGACAGTGAGGATGCCATAATGGATGAAGCACAAGACACCAGGACAGTGAGGATGCCATAATGGATGAAGCACAAGACACCAGGACAGTGAGGAGGCCATAATGGATGAAGCACAAGACACCAGGACAGTGAGGATGCCATGATGGATGAAGCACAAGACACCAGGACAGTGAGGATGCCATGATGGATGAAGCACAAGACACCAGGACAGTGAGGATGCCATGATGGATGAAGCACAAGACACCAGGACAGTGAGGATGCCATAATGGATGAAGCACAAGACACCAGGACAGTGAGGATGCCATGATGGATGAAGCACAAGACACCAGGACAGTGAGGATGCCATGATGGATGAAGCACAAGACACCAGGACAGTGAGGATGCCATGATGGATGAAGCACAAGACACCAGGACAGTGAGGATGCCATGATGGATGAAGCACAAGACACCAGGACAGTGAGGATGCCATGATGGATGAAGCACAAGACACCAGGACAGTGAGGATGCCATGATGGATGAAGCACAAGACACCAGGACAGTGAGGATGCCATAATGGATGAAGCACAAGACACCAGGACAGTGAGGATGCCATAATGGATGAAGCACAAGACACCAGGACAGTGAGGATGCCATAATGGATGAAGCACGAGTAATTAGTGATCAAAAGAAGGCACCAAGCCAGGGAGACTATGTAGCACCATCAGTGTCGCAGAATATTCAGAAAGCACTAAATAGTATTGAGGATGCCAATACGAAAACAAAAGATCATAAAACATATTCATGTTATTAGAATCGCCAAGGATTCTATAGAGGGACAAATGACTTCAAGAGATATTAAAAAGTAAGACATACAATCGTCTTGCTCTCTGATTCCTGAAAATCACAACATTCTACAGGAAGGTGCACAACTGTACGAAGGACAATGTAATTCGGACAATAAGGAGCAGAGCAGTATTCCATTAAGTGCCTGAGAGTTAAGCGTGTATTGCCAATACACGCCAGAGCCGACTACGGATGGCCTCCATAGCGGCAGTGTCCGCACGGTCATATAATGTAACACCAATATGACTGAGAACCCAGTAAAACTACAGTCGAAAATCTGCTAGAGATAAGAAACAGCCACTATTGGTTTTTCGACCACCACAGTATGCATAGGACCAGAGCCATGAGTCAAGCTCATTAACAATGGAACGTTGACGTCGCAGAAGCAGTTCACAAAGAGCATATTAAATTGCATAGTTCTCGTGTGAAGATGCTAGTCTCCAGGGGTAGCCGGCACACACAGGGTTGGTCAGTGTTGGAAATTTCCAACACTAATACAATACAGTTGTATTATTATTAATTATTACTAAAATCTACTAATTGCTGTAGTAACTAAAATTAACCAACCGTAGGGTTCACATGAACTAATAATTGTATCTGTACAATAATGCTAGAATTCTTACGTAACCAAACACCAGTATTGCATCAGATTCTACCAAAATAAACACATTTATATCCAGTGTGTTAGAGAATTGAGTTTGATTCTCTGAAAACAACAGTATTCTGTGTGATAATTATTTACAGATAACATGACTCCCAAATAATGCCAAATCGAGCGTTTTTAGTTACAACTGTTATCTGGTAATAAATTTAACGTCACGCGTGAATGCCATGGAGAGAATTAAAATCATCTCCATTTCTCGTTTACCATCGTAAAACGAGAAAGTAATAATATTTAACTCCCTAGAATTATAACCCAGTCTTTATCAAAGCATTTTAGCCACAACTGCGAGAAATAATATTATTCGTGGTGAATAATTTGTATGGCGAATGCGGGACGCGGGGAGGGAGAGACGCCATTAGAGAACGAGTGGAGGCGTCGGCGTGAGAGGAAGGCGCCTGAGTGCGGCGTGAAGACTTGTTGTGGAATTGAGCAACTCGTTTGGTGGCAGAGTCTAGGATACGTTGTGGTGAATCGTCAGCAAGATTTAACCTGACATTCAGCCCGGAACTTGTCAATTTGTTCTACGTAATCCATCGTGACCGGCCAGATAAGCGCGTCGACATCCAGGCCAAGCTAGCCACCACGTGTTCGCCATTGTGATGCTAGAGTCTGGGACGTGAGTTTCGGCAAGCTTCAACTTATACAGTGCCCTATTAGCTAAGTACACATATAACTCGTTTTTGATGCATCATTAGAGATTGTATATAGCAGGGTAGCTTGTCGTCACGCCGAGCGACATAAATAAAACACATGTTAGTATTTTCTATTACTCTCCATTCCCAATTTCTTGAATATAGATATTTAGCAGCCTAATATGTTGCTACGTAATATATCTCAATTTACAGCTTGCGTGTGAGGAATTCCACGAGCTGTTACTTTACCCATGTTATTCATCTCCCAGTGTTCTACGAAGAATTCCGGAGATTCCGAGGATGATTCGTGACTGATGTCTTCGAAAACGTCTTCAAGCTAAGACTTTTTCGTATTTCTTTATTATTCAAATTATCTGTACTTGATTGTCATTATAGAGTACTGTGCACTGGAAGTAACACGTGTTTATTATAATGATTAATTTCTGATATTAATGATCTATATTCTTATTGGTGACAAATTTACTATTGATTCTCTAATTGGTCTTAAGATTAGGTTATTACACAATGAACTGGTGTACGAACCACACTAGTTCCTAGACATATATGAAGTTCTAGCAATAACCCCCCAATGTAGGTGTTTGAGGCTTTGATTCAAGTAAATTATTTATACAGCCCATTATTCAAGTGATTATATTTTCTAGTATTTATCCATAGTTACTGGTTCCTCTAGGAATTTCTAATGATCACATTTTATTAGTTTCCCTCTTTACTATAAAAGCGGGTGGTCCTTCGTAATTGATTTCATTACTTTAATAATTAAATAAATAGAGTCAAGCCCCAAATGTCCCACAGTCAAGTCTCCAGGGGTAGCCGGCACACATAGGGTTGGTCAGGTCTCCAGGGGGTTGCAGGCACACATAGGGCTGGTCAGGTCTCCCGGGGGTAGCCGGCACACATATGGTGGTCAGGTCTCTAGGGGTAGCCGGCACACATAGGGTTGGTCAGGTCTCCAGGGGGGTAGCTGGCACACATAGGGTTGGTCAGGTCTCCAGGGGGGTAGCCGGCACACATAGGGTTGGTCAGGTCTCCAGGGGGTAGCAGGCACACATAGGGTTGGTCAGGTCTCCGGGGGTAGTCGGCATAAACATAGGGTTGGTCAGGTCTCCAGGGGTAGCCGGCACACATAGTGTTGGTCAGGTCTCCCGGGGGTAGCCGGCACACATAGGGTTGGTCAAGTCTCCGGGGGGGGCGGGGTAGCCGGCATAAACATAAGGTTGGTCAGGTCTCCAGGGGTAGCCGGCACACTTAGGGTTGGTCAGGTCTCCAGGGGTAGCCGGCACACATAGGGTCGGTCAGGTCTCCGGGGGTAGCCGGCACACTTAGGGTTGGTCAGGTCTCCAGGGGTAGCCGGCACACATAGGGTCGGTCAGGTCTCCGGGGGTAGCCGGCATAAACATAGGGTTGGTCAAGTCTCCAGGGGTAGCCGGCACATATATGGTGGTCAGGTCTCCAGGGGTAGCCGGCACACATAGAGTTGGTCAGGTCTCCAGGGGTAGCCGGCACACAGAGTTGGTCAGGTCTCCAGGGGTAGCCGGCACACATATGGTGGTCAGGTCTCCAGGGGTAGCCGGCACACATAGGGTTGATCAGGTCTCCAGGGGTAGCCGGCACACACAGGGTTGGTCAGATCTCTAGGGGTAGCCGGTACACACAGGGTTGGTCAGATCTCTAGGGGTAGCCGGTACACACAGGGTTGGTCAGATCTCTAGGGGTAGCCGGTACACACAGGGTTGGTCAGATCTCTAGGGGTAGCCGGTACACACAGGGTTGGTCAGATCTCTAGGGGTAGCCGGTACACACAGGGTTGGTCAGATCTCTAGGGGGTAGCCGGTACACACAGGGTTGGTCAGATCTCCAGGGGTAGCCGGTACACACAGGGTTGTTCAGATCTCCAGGGGTAGCCGGCACACACAGGGTTGGTCAGATCTCTAGGGGTAGCCGGCACACACAAGGTTGGTCAGATCTCTAGGGGTAGCCGGTACACACAGGGTTGTTCAGATCTCCAGGGGTAGCCGGCACACACAGGGTTGGTCAGATCTCTAGGGGTAGCCGGTACACACAGGGTTGGTCAGATCTCCAGGGGTAGCCGGTACACACAGGGTTGTTCAGATCTCCAGGGGTAGCCGGCACACACAGGGTTGGTCAGGAAAGATGCTAGTCTCTGGGGGGTAGCCGGCACACATGGGGTTGATCAGGAAATTGGAATAGCCAACACCATCGGTAGATTTACACACATCTGTGAATAGTCCAATGGAGTGTAAGTGTGAAGAAATGTGCTCAAGGAAATAGGATTGAAAACGGTGCAGGACGAACCGAAACAACGTCGTTTCTTAATTTTCAGGTTTATGGTTTGGGCATCATG